ATGGAGGCCTGTTCAGATTTCATCAGAGCACCCCTCCTACCTCAGTTTTGTGTTCCAGGGAGACGGTTGCTAGGCGACAGCAAAGTCCTTGATTGCTGTGTTGCCAGGCAACGGGAAACGGAAAATGGAGGGAAAAAGGAAATAGGGGATGGGGGAGGGTCTTAGTGGGCCATAGCGCCCACTGGTGGAGAAGCAGGGCCTGTGCATTTTCTATTCTAGAAGGAATTTTGAATCCAGCCCCTTCCGCTCTTGGTCCCTCTATTCGGATATGAAATTAGGACATTTGGGGTCATCTGAGGGGCGCATCTAACAGATGCTCATCAACGGGGTCAATCTCGTATAGGCGAGATTCTAGGGAAGTCGTCCTTTCTGCCATGTGTAGGCATTTTATAGAAGGCAGACAGTCGATTTGAGGAAACCCCTTACTGGGTTTTAAGAGCTAGAAAGGTGGGCGTTCAATGGGAGAGTATTTGGAAGAGAGGCTTTCAGGTTGGGACTTGTTTGGGAGGAAATGGAAGCCTCTGAAGAGATCTGAGGTAGTCGGTTTGGTGTGTTCTGGAAGATTTATAGGTCAATGCAAATTGCAGGCCAGATCTTACTTCGGTGAATATTTTTTGAGGCTTGGGTGTGGGGAAGATATATTTGGGAGCAATCTTCCAATAAAGTTGGAATTCAGAGTCATGGAGGGGATGTTGAGATGTAGGGATGGCAGCCAGAAAAGGGAATAATCTATGAACTCGAGGAGTAAAGAAAGGATAGGGAAATAAGTCTTAATGCAAGGGTTAGGGAATAAACCGAAGAAGTTACAATTGAATTTGGAGGGTCTGCTTTAAGGTAGATTAAATATTCCCTGAAATTGGGTTCTGGTGTTGTATTGGGGACTGATATATTAGAAAGGCATGAGTGTCTCATTAAATTCAGGGATGTGGACAGGGGACCCCAAACAAATTTGAGATCTCTCATTTGGATGTTTATACTAGAGCAAGAATAATATTTGCATTAATTTCAGGGGTTCTGTTAGTGGATTGAGGAATAGATATGACTTAGGGATGATTTAAGACCCCTTATTAATTTGAGGGCACACAAGGATCAGTGTTCCTTTAAACTCTTGCAGAAGCATTGTCTGGCTACCAGGTGGAGCTGGATGGCAGGGGGACTGTGCTGGTTAGAATAGATGTCTTGGAATCTGAGGGGATGCTCCATATTAACACTCTTTGTGGCGGGCTGGTGGGAGAGGCAGTTTAGATCCCTTGGAGGTTCTTGTAAGTGAGGGAGAGTTGCTGCTTGCTTCACTGTTCCTGAGATTACAGTAGTGATGAGATGTCCAGTGAAGTTTTGGAATGGGTAGGGGCCTAGTGATTTTGGGAGTGAGGGATTAGGTGGAATAAGGGGTCCCTGAAAACCAGAGAGATAAATTGGTAAAATTTAAGAGTGTCTCTATTTGTAGAGGGGTGGGAATAGGAGTATACTGTGGAAGGTGAAGTACAGAGAGAAACGGCTGGAGCCGGGGAAGTTGATGGCTAAGAGGTTGAGATGACAGCTGGTTAATTGGGTAGGGAGTCAGGGTCACGTTGGGCCTTTCACCCCAAAAGGCCAGAGGGAGACCAGGAATTTACTCTGAGGCTCTATACGCTCGCTACCTTCTTCCCCAGTCAGGGAACCTGGCCTGACACCCATTCCTGCCCCCCTGCTGAGGGGCCTCCCTACTGCCTCCATCCCCTCCTTCCTCCCTCACCCCATCGCCTTCTAGTATATCCGGATTAGCTGGCCAGGCTGTGGGCTTTTGTAGGGGTGGGGCTAGACTCCTGGGGCCCAACCCTGGGACCCTTGCTATTCCACCCACCCCCTTCCCTCAGTAAGCCCCCCTTCTCCATGTCGACTCGGAACAGATTCGCCTCCATGTGTCTCTGCGTGGTACGTGCCGCGGTACGGGCTTCGGTCCCGCTCTCCTCCTCCCGGACCCCCCAAAATTTCAGGGTGCAAGCTTCATGTGCTGTCGCTCTTCCCTCTCCTTGGCGCGGGGTCTTTGGTTTGCAACTTCTCGCAGACAGGCGCAGGGGGTCGCCCCTCTGCACTTTGACTCACACCCCTCTGTTCTGGGGATGCAAGCATCAGTTCCAGGTCATTCCGTGCAACTGGGGCTCCGGTGAGGAGGGGGCCAAGGGGGATGGCACAGCAGCGACCCCGTCGTGTCCCCCTAGGCCTTTTAGTTGTCTCAAGTCCTAATATATTGGGGTTGCGGACTTGCCCCAATAGCACAGTGCTGTCGCGGGTCAGGGCCCTGAGTCCCAGTGGGGTAAACGGGGGGGTGGGCCTCCTTTCCCGAGCGGCTTTACTTGCACTGTAATCGGGACTGAGAGGTGTTGACACCCCCACCCCCCAGTTTGCAGTTTCAGAATTACTCTTCCCTACCCCCACCACTCCAGGCGTTTTTTTTTATCCCCA